GGGCGCAGAGGGAGCGTCCGAGTGAGTCCGTGCGCGGGCCCTTTGAGAGGAGCTGCTGGGGCTCCCGCAGCCTCCGCGACCCTCAGGGACAGTCCCCGCTGGTTTCACAGCCCGGAGTTGTGGGGACGTCTCTTCCCAGCCTGGAGCTCTGGGCTGGGGTCTGCTATGGGGCTGGGACCCCTCCCTCCTCTGGGAAACCTCTGCCGCCAAGATGTCCTCCCGGGTTTCAACCGCGGCACCGGGTGTGAGCCTGCGGTTCGACTCTGATTCAGCCCCCGATCCGCCCTCATCTCCGCCCCTCCTCCCGGTCTCGGTGCTGCTTCAGCTCCCTGGTTGTGGGGCTTCTGTTCCACCAGATCTCAGGAGGCTCTGAGTGCTGGTGGTTCTGTATTTTAGTTGTAATTTTGATGTGGTCGCAGGTGGCGGCGGGGACCCGGTTACCTTCGCCGCCATCTTACCGTCTCCCTGTAACTGGCTGCTTGTCCTCAGCCTTTTCTTTAGGAGCTTCATTCATATTTTTGTACATTGCAGTAGTTGGTTTATTTCAATTGCTATATAGGGTTTCATTGTATGAATAGGCCAAAGTTTCTTTGTCCATTATATATATTTTAAAAAGATTTTTTAGTTAACTTTTAGAGAGAGGAAGGGAGAGAGAGAGAAAAACATTGATGTGAGAGGGAAGCACTGATCTGCTGCCTCCTGTGTGTCCCCCACTGGGGATCAGCCCACAGCCTGGGCACGTGTCCTGACCGGGAATCCAACTAGCAACCTTTCAGTGCCTGGGATGACACCCAGCCAACTGAGCCACACTGGATATTTATCATACTATTGATGGTTACTTGAACTATTAAGAATAGTGCTGCTCTGAATAATTTGTACATGTGATTTACATGCGTTTCTGATACATACATATTTTAGATCTTTGATCATTGGGTGTGCAAATTTTCAACTTCAGTGGATACTGACAGTCAGTATTTCAAAGTGTTTATACTAATTTAAACTCCCAGCATGTATGTGTATGGGACTTCTAATTCTTGTCCCTATATTCTTTTCGACACTTGATATAATCATCTCTGTGTTTTAGACATTCTAGGGATTTTAATTAATTTAATTTATTTTGATTTTAATTTGTATTTTCTTGAGATTAATGAGATTGAGCATCCTCTCATGTGCTTCTCATTAGCGATTTGGATATCTTTTTTGTGAGAAATTACTGTTCAAGTCCTTTGCCAATTTTCTAATTGGTTTATCTGTCATTGATTTAGAGTAGCTTTTATTTCTTTATTATGGAAAAGCATTGTAAATATCTTCTCCCACTTGGTGGCATGCTTTTCATTATGATAGTGGTATGTTTTAATAAACAGAAATTTTATATTTTTATGTACTTAATTTTATAAATATGTTTATTTGTGGTTACTGCTTTTATTTGGCCCTGTTTGAGGAATCTTTATTACCCTAAGATCATAACTTCTATATGATCCTGACAGAAGACAGAACCAAATCCTTTGTAACCCTTGGATAACGCTTTAGTAATTCGGGCTCCTGCCTGAAATTAGGATGTGTGGTGAAGTCACTTCAGGCACTTCTTGCAAGTAGACCTTTATTTTGTTACTGGTTTCAAAAAGAAAATCATGTATATTTCATTTATTATTGTATTTATAGAGACGTTACTGATGTGACTTAGTATAAGCCATCAACATCTCTAGAAAGTAGGTGTTAGTATTATCCACTTTACGGATGAGGAAACTAAGGCTGACTTAGTGATGTTACTTCCCCAAATGGCAGAGCTAATAAATGGTAGAGGTCCATTCTGTCTGATTCCAAAGTCATACTCCAATGCCAGATGCCTTTTAGGTTCCACAAGCGAAGGGAACTTACTTAGTTTTGCTACCATTGTATCATCATTACATGTTGGTATTCGATAAGCACATATTTATATTTTTTACTATAGAGAATGTTTTATTTAAATAGCAAAAATAAACATTTTAAGGAAGTACATTAAATTTACTTCAAGGGTATGCCAAAATAATAACCAACATGTCTCCTCAAATAACCTTAAAGTTAATTTGATCAGACAAATAAACAATAGGTCCTAATTAAAAGTCTCAAATCAGGAAAAGAAAAACATTGTGTTCTGCAAGAAGCTTATGAGAAATGCTAGAGAGAATTCAGAAGTGACTACCTACCTAAATGATAATGGGAAATCAATGTGGTATGTCATACATTGTCAAAGCAATTCTTACAGAGCACTGTGAACATGTCTTGTTATTTTAATGGGAAAGAAGAACAGTTTAGGGAAGAGTTAATTATTTTTTCAAGGGGAATCAAAATCATATACAGGCAGCATTTAATATCACTAGAAGAGGGGAAAGGATGCTGGCAATGAAAAGAAAGGAAACTAGAAACCTCTATTTCAATTAGGGAACTCTTTGGAGTGTTTCTTGAGAAGACTAATGAAACACAATTATTCTGGAAAGGTGAATAGTTGTTAAACAAATGATTACAAAGAGAACATTTTCAGATATCAAAGAAATACAAAGGGTAGGTATGATCACATAGAAGTGGAAGTAATTCTACTTAAAAAGTTAAGTCATCAGAGCAATGAATAAAGTCTCAATTTGATATATTTAATTCAAACCATATTAATTAAAAGTAAATCAATTGGATAATTTTCTTAGTTCAGTATAGAGATATATTATAAGACATGTAAAACAGTTAATACTTGATATTATAAATTTTTTAAAAATAAACATATTTTTAAATTCTTGAATGGACAGAATTTTTTTGTTTACTTTGCCAAGATGGAATTGCATTTGAAAATTCATTTCTCTGTTGCAGATAAAGGAAGACCTAGATCTAAAAAAATAACAGAGAGTGGAAGAGGGAAACGATATTCATACAAATTACCTCAAGAATACAACATAGAGACTGTAGTGGTTGCAGACCCAGCAATGGTTTCCTATCATGGAGCAGATGCAGCCAGGAGATTCATTCTAACCATCTTAAATATGGTAGGCAAACTTTAAGGTGCGCTTGGAATTTTTTCAAGAAAACTCTAAGGAAGAAATGTGTGAGTATAATGAAGTTCTTTAAAAATTAACTCATTACTATTCCTTTCTTTTATTGACATAAAAAAAAAAATCTTTAGGTTTACCAAATTGATCTGGCTCAAAAAGATATCAAAATAATAATTCCCATTGTCTAGTAGAAAAAACACCCTTATTTTTCATTTTGATGTGGTAAAACTATTAGTCTTTCCTCTCTTTTTTGTGTCCTTCTTTTCATTTTCATTTATAAAAGGCCATTGGTTGAAGTTAGCAGAAATTTTATATTTGTTCATATGCATGGTCCTATCCAAATGCTCTGGATTATGAGGTGGAACAACAACAGAGGTTGGTAATCCATTGAGCTCTTATATAGGTATGTAAAATTGGATGTCAGGTAGAATGCTAATTGATGAGTAAGACCTAATAGCTAATAGCTAACTGTTTAACCAGCTGAATTATTTGTAGCTAACTTCAGTTGACAATTTCTGGACTGCAGAAATCTAGTTTGCACCTGGCATCTTATGGGTGCTTACTACCCAGTGAATCCTTTGATTTAATTGCGTACTGTTTTGGGTAAACCTCTTTTGAGGCAGAATTAGAAGGTTCTAGTGAAGGGCGGTTCTTAGAGGAGAATAAACATAAATAAAAGCCAAAGGAAAATGTCCATTTATAATTCCAGTTACCTTATAAGCAGGGCAAGCACCCCTGATTCAAGGATAAATATGTTATGTTTTTGTAAAGTTCCCATTTTTACTATTTTTGCCATTATTTGGTTTGTTTTCCCAGCAAACAGATTTTCCCACACTTCAGTCATTTCTGTGTATGTTCACTTACCTCCTGAACACTCCACCAGCTTTGGTTTTGGTGGAGACCATGGGTTTGGTGTGTCAGTATTATATTTTCTATTACAAAATAGCAAATTTATTTATTTATTAAATAAATGCTAAATTTTGCAAAAACTCAAAATACCACATAAAAAATTCCCATTGCTTTCCAGCATGTCAACACACACCACATTTTGAGAAAACCTGTTATAATGATGTTCTGAAACCATTAAGCAACAATGGCCCACAAGCTTGTCTTCATGGGAGTGTTGAAGGGAAGAGCTTTGAAAACCGTGTTTCTGTTTGACAGCTAGCCTGGAAGAGAGAAAAGACTCTAAAAAATGAATTGGGAGGTGGCATAAAGCAGGCTGAGTTTTCAGGACTGTTTCTCAGAGGAAAGAACACTGGCATTTTGTGAATTAAGAATAAGAAAAACTTGCCTAGCTGATGTGGCTCAGTGGTTGAGCATCGACCTAGGATCCAGGCGATTGGGGTTTGATTCCCGGTCAGGGCACATGCCCGGGTTGCGGGCTCTATCCTCAGTAGGGGGCATGCAGGAGGCAGCTGATCAACGACTCTCTCGTCATTGATGTTTTTCTCTCTCTCTCCCTCTCCCTTCCTTTCTCTGAAATCAATAAAGATTTATTTAAAAATAAAAATAAAAATTCTAGGGCTTAGTTACTAAAATTCTCTTTGGTATCATGAAAAGCCCAGCCTTCTCTCAGCACCCCATTGAAATGCCTAGACTGTTAAGGCTGCAGTAAGTATCCCAGAATGCTATGTCTAAATTTCTTGTTACCTAAAATGAATTAGTTAAGTTATTGCTTATTAAGCTAATTTTTAAATAATTTAAAAATTTAAAATATGTAAGATTTCTCAACTAAATGCAGATGTCTCCCATGTCTGGACTTTAAGAAAACTTAAGATGCTTTTCAGCTTTATTTTAGGATTTTTAATTTTTATTTGTTTTTAGGTTTTTAACCTTTTCCAACACAAGAGTCTTGGTGTGCAGGTCAATCTTCGTGTGATAAAGCTTATTCTGCTCCATGAAACTCCAGTAAGAAAGTCTTGAGTTTTTTTGTTCTAAATTAAGTGGGTGTGAAGTTGTGTTCAAGTATACTTTTTAAGTGAAGGCAATGTTAGGGATGTACTTTTTATTGACTTAAAATCCAGAAATACCCATTGGATCAGAGTATACATAAACTGGTCTTTAGTTTGGATTAATACCTCAATTTTATTCCAAAAATGGAATGTTCTTAGTTTCCAAGGATCCTGACCACAAACCTTAACTTTCTAAAAGTAATTTTAAAAAGTCATATTTAATGACAGTTTTATTTTCTTCTCCAAACATGTATGTGTAAAGCCTTTTCTTATCTGCGGTTCATTTTAAATGAGGACCATTCTGTGACATCGCTTTAGCATGCTGCTTAACTGGCACTTTGTAAAGCCTTTGTTCTTAGAGTATAGAAATGATGAATCACTTAAGTCTAAAAGTTCCACATTCTCAGTATTCCATTGAACATCTCTCCTTTTTTCTGAATAACGGTAAACAGATCTTGTAACTGTTGTACCTTCACAGAGTTTTGAGATTTTAACCTCAGGCTAAGTTAATCCTTAATGTCTTCCAGGTTCTAATTAATGTTACGGTCAGCCGTTTGCTTTAGTAATTCAAGATGTCCCTCAGTTATACAGTGTTTTGTATATGGAGGATAATTTGCTTTGAAGTGAAATCTCTTCTTTTGCAGGCAGATCTATATATTGGGCACCACGGAGAGAAAATGCTAGAGAGTTTTTGTAAGTGGCAACATGAAGAATTTGGCAAAAAGAATGATATACATTTAGAGATGTCAACAAGCTGGGGAGAGGACATGACTTCGGTGGATGCAGCTATACTTATAACAAGGTAAATTTTCCAAAGCCAATTAAATGATATTCCTAATTCTATGGCCATGCTGTTAATCCTATTAATCCCTTCACAGAATGCTTTTATTCTCGATTTTGTGTTTCAAAAAACTTTTGGCATAATGATGTTAGTCAGTTTCCCTCAATTCATAACTGGGTTTTGAACTGCCACTCATTGGTGGCATATTGACAAAACATTTGACTAGTTAATTTTTTTTTACAAATGGCTTCAATTTTTAATGTGAGGATACAGTCAGTGCTGATGAGTGAAAACTATGGTGAAATTTAGTGGAACTTTGAAATTATGAGCCCACACCGTCTGTTTTTCTGTAATCACTATATAAAGTAATCCAATATATTAAATTCAGAAATTGACAAACTTTCTGGTTCAATCTGAGAAAAAAAATTCAGTTAGGTTTGAGCTGCACTGGGAATGTCTATAGTACTCACAAACATTTGTAATGCAGCATTACATATAAATATAAGAAAGTGAATGAGCAAAAGTATACTATACATGAGTATTCTCTATTAATGATCATTTATACATGTATCTTGCTTAGAGCTAGTAAAAATGAAAATAATTGTTCAGCAGCAACTTAATTTTAGTATCAATAGTGTTGACATTTCACATCACATAATACACAGTAACATTTAAACGTGATTTTTTTTGGTAACGAGTCTATTTAAATGCATGATAGCTTCTGTTGCTGAATTATAAAAAAGCTACTCTGGTTATAGATAATTCATAAAGATGAAAAAAATCTCTCTGCAAGAACACACCTGGACTTCTACAGTTAGGTGTACCTGATGCTGGACTACTGCAGTTAATAAGCATACAACTGGAAAATATTTATTTGGCAACTTCTTTCAATCATTGGAGAATGAACAATGCAAGACTGCAACTTGGAAAGAAGGAAAATTTATTGACTCCAGTCAACCCAACTTTTTGGCTGGGGACAATTAAAAAAATTCTCACCCAAGGATGTTTACTGATTTTTAGAGAGAGAGGAAGGGAGAGAGAGAAAGAGAAACTTCAACATAAGAGAGAGAAACATCAGCCCATTGCCTCCTGCACACACCCTGACCGGGGTTTGAACCGGCAACCTAGGTGTGTATACTGACTGGGAATTGAACCTGTAACCTTCTGGTGTGCGGGATGATGCTCCAACCAAATGAACCACCTGCCCAGGGCTGCCTCGGGACAATTTTTTGACTGAAAGCTGAAATCTAGGTAGAACACAGCGGTCCTGCTGAGGACTCCAGAGGCAAGGGTCCTATGCAGGGAAAGGTGCTAAGAAGTCTGTGTACAGATTACCTGTGTGACCTTAGAAAGACTAGTCTGAATACCTACAGAAATAAACTGCCCAAAATTTATCAGAGTGCTGCTGCTATGGAGTTTAGATTTTCAAAAGATACTAGGAATAAGCGGATTCAGGCCACAAGAGTGGAACAATCTTGTTAATGCCTGACATTTAGCTGATAAAACAGGAAGGCAATGCTTTCATAGTAGGGACCATGATTCAGAGAAATGCCTGCCTTTGACCTGCCCTAACAAAGCCTGAAACCACACCCCAGTAAGATATTTAAGGGAGACAGAGTTTGGAGTTTGAGTCCCACCAATTGACAAAGGCTTTGGGAATCATCTTGAGCTTCTGATAGGTCTTTCCTACCAAAGAATAAACTCAAACCGACCAAAGTTCAGATTGATCAGCCAGTAACTGAACTGCCTCCTACAATAAAAGTTAGTATTCTTCAGGGGAAGATAACAGAATCTTGAATCTCTGTAATATACCTTCCACAGTGTCTAAAACATAGTAAAAATTAGCCAAGCAAAGAGACATGAAAATGTGACCCGTGGTCAAGGAAAAGTAGTCAATGGAAACTGACCCTGAGATATCTTAGATGTTGGATTTACCAATTAATTTCGTTGTCATTGAAATCTTAGGAGAAGCAAATGAGAATGGGTAGGAAAAATTATTTGAAAAAATAATGGCCACATTTCCCCCCAAACTTGATAAATAACAAATTGTAGACCTAGGCATATCATAGGAAAATTGGTGAAAACCAAAGATACAGAACATTGTTTTTGAATTTTCCAGAGAAAAGAGATACATTACACAGGGGTATCAATGTTAAGGTTAATGACTGACTTCCCCTCAGAAAAAAATGAGTCCGAAAGATGATGGAGAGATATCTCTAATGTAAGGGGTAATAATCCTATCAACAAAAGTTCTTAATGAGTTCTTAAGTGTACTTTATTAATCTATGAAAGGGTATTCACAAACAAATATACACCAAATATCTAAAACTAACATCACACTTAATAGATTTTTTAAAAAATTATAGGCAAAATAAACATCTACGTTCATTCAAGTTATTTAACAAGTGATGAAGAGTCAATTCCCTTATCTCATAGTTTTCTCAATTCTCTGCTAAATTTTCACAGATTTATTTAAATTATACTTAATTTTTTAATTTTCTAAATTATATTGTTACAATTGTTAAATTATATTATTTAAGTTATTTTTATTCAAATTAAATCGTTAGGGTTGCTAAGATATATTTTGAAAGCACACATCTTTTCTGTGGTAGAGGTTCTCTTAATGATATTTCAGAGTGACAGGGTATGTTTGGAAAGATGGTCATTTTTAATCACTTGGTTTTGGGGGCCCTGTAAGAAATCAGCTTATACTAAAATTTATCTTGTTTATGACTTAAAGCAATTTTTATTTGAATAAGATTAACAAATATTAAAGTTTACTTCTCTACCAAAATATTTTTTTAATGACTTGCTTTTGTAAAAGTAATAAAGTAGCAAATATTGCTGTTAGTGAAGATCATTAGGATTACCAGGGAACATACAGACTTTATTTTTTAAATTTTAATATGAAATTATGTCATATTTTGTAGTTATTTTGCATGACGAGGTTCTTAAATACATTTTATTTGTATATAGTACTAAATGTTATATTTCTGAAGAAAGACTTTATAGTGCCATATATAATCCATAGTATTATTTATGATCGCATAAGTTACTGTATGTGGTTAATTTTAACTTCTAACCTGTAGTGACCACCACTATGATACAGACAAATTAGATTTCCAGAACGTATTAACCATGAATGATTTTATGTATTTATTTCTTGATTGACGAAATCTGTCTTCCATTTCCTCATGATGATAGGTTTTGGAAATATTGCTTCTGAAACTAGTAGATAATAATTATAATTTTATTATCAATTTTATTTTCTCTTATTAAAAATTTAATACATTTATTATAGAAATTTGAGAAATACAAGAATAAGAATAAAACACTAGCCTGTAATTCCACTACCTAGGAGTAATTATAGGTAACATTTTTAAGTATATTCCTTCAGTTTTGTTTCGTATGTATTTGTGTAACTATAAATACATATTTTTATAATATTGGGCTTATACCCTTCATGCAAGTTTTGTCTTGCCCCACCAATGTTGTGACATTAATTTTATTCCTTACCTCCAATACCATTTTTCTCTTAAAAACTCTGAAAAAAGAATCTCCTGCATCCAATATTTTTTCTTCTTCTGTGATAGAGCTTTAAAAGCCACACTTTTTAAACTCAGTTTACTAAGGTGACACTGGTTAATAAGATTATAAAGGTTTCAAGTATACGTTTCTATGATATTGCATTGTGCACCCACCACCCAAAGTCGAATCTTCCGTCACCATATAGTTGACCCCCTTTTCTGTTTACTACCCCCTCGAGCTGCTTCCCTCTTTTATTTTTACATACTATTGTCTGTGTGTATGAGTTTTTGTTTGCTTTTCTTGTTTGTTCATTTGTTGCTTTCAGTTTTATGTCCCGAATATGAGTGAAATCATATGGCTCCTAACTTATTTCTGACTTATTTCACTTAGCATGATATTCTCAAGAAAGATGAAATAAAAGCCAGACTTTTAACTAAACACTCTTCATTATTACCTCCCTTGCTGCTAGTCTTCACTAGCAAGCTGGCACAGGTGTTCCCTACAAAAATAAATAAATAAATAAACAAACAAACAAACAAATAAATAATAAATTGCTTGATATATATGATGAAGAAAATATAAGGTATAATAAAATTAACAACTGCCTGTTTACCCCTGTATAGAAGAAAGAATATTATCCGTGGAGTTTAAGTCTCCATTTTATATACCAGTTTATAATACATATTTTCCCGTAGAAATCTAGTCCAAACATTTCCATGTTATTAAATAGGTCTTTAGGAAACACTGTAGCATAATTCCCAAGTAATTCTTGAACATATTCTTATGGTACAAGTTGCTCAAAGGTAGCCAGTGTTGAGTTGGTACGTATTCTAAAGAACATTGTTCCATGTTATACAGTTTTCTCTATTGTTTTTTCCCCTACTTTTTATATGTTTTGTAAGTCCTTTCATGCCATCAGTTGTTCACATCCTAATCCTCAGAACCTGTGAATATGTTCCTTACGTGGTGAAAGGGACTTTGCAGATGTGATTAAGGATGTAGAGATGGAGAGATTATCCCAGATTACCTAGATGGATCCAATGTAATCACAAGAATCCTAAAAGATGGAAAAGGGAACAGAAGGTCAGAGTCGGAGAGACTGGAAGACTCTATACCGCTGGCTTTCAAGGTGGCAGAAGGGCCACTAGCCAAAGAATGCAGGCTGTCTCTAGAAGCTGGAAAAGGCCAGCCAGCAGGTTCTACCTTAGATCCTCTAGGAGGGGTGCAGCCCTAGCAACACCTTGATTTTAGCCCAGTAAGACCTATGTTTGGCTTCAAACCTCTAGAACTGTAAGGGGATACATTCCTGTTGTTTTAAGTCACTAAGTTTGTGGTAATTTTTTACAGCAGCAATGGGAAACTGATACAACCGTATTGGTCTAGATCATTTGGAGGGAGGAGCAGACATTTTATTACATATAAGGGTCCTAATTTATATAACTACTTTCTATTTGTACAACTTTCTGATTTTTCACACTTAGAGAAAAACATAT